TTTTTTATTTATTTTCGTACAAATCGTCATTGACCTTTCATCGAGTACGTAATCTTTGGATTTTTATTCAAATTTTTAATAAAATTTCCTATATAAAATTAAAATCAATTTTTTATTTGAATGTTTTTATTTTAAATTACTTCATTCTGATATAGACAGATTGGACTTTTTACAGAAATTTGTATTAAGAAAAAAAAATTTGCTTCAAAAACAAATTCAAATTTACAATTTTTGTTCCTGAAAATTATTGTTCAAAAAACCATAATAAAAATTTTATAATATTTTCTTTGTTTTCACAAAGATCATTAGTAATTTTTGGTAAAATATTTTCGATAGTTAATTCTACAAGTTTGCCATGCATATCATTAAGTTCATATTTGACAATCAATGGAAGATAAGTGGATAAAGTATGTTCATTGAGATTGCTTCGTATGAATGTTCGACAATGTTTGAATAATTGTTCATCACCATAACAATTTCATAAAATATTTTGATGACATTTTCAGGTGACATTTTGAAGCCAATCGTTAGCAGCATAATTCAATAATTCAATAAATGATATTGGATCATTCCAATACATGGATGATTGATGTAAGGCCATAAGTGATTAGTGATTTGTAATGCATTATTGATGCTGCAACAAATGATTTCAGTTGACCATCCAATTTTTTGGGCTGGAGCAATTCTTCATCTTTTTTTTCTTCATCTTCATTTTCATCAGCCCAATCTCCCCATACATAATAATGGGATGATTGATCCAAAAAAAATGAAAAAGTGTGATTATTTTTACAAGCCACTTTTTGCACATTTTCAATGATTATTTTTGTCGGCACATTTGCATCATGTTCATTATCATACATAGAGCGTTGACCATAACCACATCCAAAAATTTGACCATTTTCGAGTAAAAATAAAGAATGCCCGTAACCGGCCACAATATCTTTGATTGGACTATCAATCGCATTATCAGAAACAGGTGTGGGTTTTTTTCGATAAACTTCATCTCCTTGACCTAACTGTCCATCAGTATTATGGCCCCAGGAATAGAGTTCCTTCACATTTGTGAGAGCAAGACAATGGTCCCTTCCGCAAGCTATTATTTCGACATTTTTCAAATCAGTATTCTCGGGAATATCATATGATGGCTCTGAATTATCGGTCAATTGACCCTTACCATCACCTCCCAAAGCGAAAACGGTACCATCTTGTCGTAACAACAACAAATGATCCCATCCACATGCTATCATTTCAAAACGATCATTATCATCACAGGTCGAGATCAATCGAAAAGTATTGTTCGTTTGCCATAATGAATCACCATTTGCTAAATAAACTAGTCCATCATCAGTTAGAACGACAATAAATTTTTCACCTGAAT